TTTGTTTGCACGTAAATATAAATCCTATCAATGCCACTGGTAAGAATGGGGATCTCATTAGAAATGCTAACAGCAGTTGCTGAACTGATACCTTACGATCACCGCTGGTAAACGCTCTGCTGTTGGAAAGCAGGAGACGGAAATGCTGGCTTCCAGCATCCTCCCCTGGCTCCCCTTTCAGAGTAACCTGAGACAGACTGGAAGACCAGGGATTGGTTAAAATGCAGCTGAGATACGATGAAGAACCATGTATTGGCAGTTTTATTAGAGAGTATATTCATCGCATGTACAACAAGTATCAGTTTTATGAAAAGCAGGACAAATGACATACCCCACCCCTCCACCTACACTCTGTGTGTGTTCTGATGAAACAGTTCAGATCTCCTTGACAGAGGCCACATGTGAGCAGTCTATAAATAGAAATTCTCTAATGGTGTTTCAAGGAAGGCAGAGGTGACAGGACAGGGCCATGCCTTAGTCATCAGCCCTGCAGAGACCCATGTGAGAAACATGATAGACTGGGCTGGACTGTTGGACAGAATGTGTTCAGCGACATCATACTGCATCACTTCATGTTTTCATTTCACCAGCACCGCGTGAGTTTGGATGAGTTTCCCCGGGGTGCTCCACATGGATCTTGTACTTCACTTACTGGCCACTTCCCTCTTTTTCTTTGTAGCACACACACACACACTAATTGTGGCATGGGGGAGAATCTGATTGCTGTATGCTGATGTGTTCTCCTTAAATTAAATTCAATAAAATGTTATTTGTATAGCGCCAAATCACAACAAACATCATCTCAGGACACTTTACAAAGTAAGTTCTAGACCTTACTATTATTAATATTATAGAGGAAAACCCAACAAATCCCCCTTGGGCAAGCACTTGGCGACAGTGGGGAGGAAAAAACCCCCTTAACAGAAGAAACCTCAGACAGACCCGGGCTCTTGGTGAGCGGCCTTCTGCCTCTTCTCTCCTCTTCACTTCTCTTCTCCCAGGATGGAGAGGAGAAGAGCAGAGAGATGAAGTGCTTAGGTGTCTTTCTGGGGAATGGTGACATTCAAAGTAAGAACTAGGAGGGTTTAGTTGGAAATATCATTGCCCTATTGTCCAGATAGACTTGGGTCCAGCTTTAGTTGTTTGTCTTTTCTCTGGGAGCAGTTTACCATCGTAGAACCTCCAGACACATTCAGACTGGTGAACTAATTCTGGGGAGGATTTCACTGAACCAGATCTGTTGCCCTGTGAGTATTGTACCTGTGTCAGAAGGGACCAGGACTGAATGACCTCCTCAGTCATTTAGCAGCCTTTCGCCTTCAGACTGTGCAGCATCTCCTCTACCGTAAGCAGCAGCTCTAGGCTGGAAATAACCTGGCCTAATGACAAGCATTTGTTTCTCTTGGAGAAGGCTAGCATGGACATAACAGAGAATCATCTCAGCACCTGGACTGACGAACCGGCTGTTTTGCAACTGAGCCAAGAAACTGGTTTTAAATCTTTACGTCTCCTGGAGAAACTGTTGGAGGAGGCAATGTGTGGTCTTCGTGGACTTTTCAGAGACGTTAGGGGTAGAGTCTGCAGAATGGCCTGGTTTTCCATCATTATCCATCTGGAGCATGAGGAAGAAAAAGTGCTCTCCTTTTTCTTCTCTTTTTTCTTTTTTAAATCAGAGCTACCAGACTTTATTCACAGCATTTATGGATTCACATTTGTTTTAAATATGTACAGGGTGGGTGTGTTAAATTTCCTTGTATGATTTTTATTGTAAATGAAAAATAGGACCATTAAATATCACATAAAGGTCTCTTCTCTTCTCTTCTCAGGCGGGAGGGAAGCACTACCATCCAACCTGCGCCCGTTGTGCCCGCTGTAACATGATGTTCAAAGAGGGAGAGGAAATGTACCTGACAGGTGAAAATAGATGCCAGTCCTTCCACACACACAGGCATCCTTGTTTTCACTCTTCATGGGGACTTTACATTGACTCGTATTCATTTCCTGGATACATTGACCATAACCACAACTTGCCAAACCCCAACTCTAAGCCTAAAATTCAATCATTTACTTTATGGGGACAATCATCTGGTTGCCATGAGGAAGGTGAGTCCCTACGGTGTGAGTGGGCTCTCAGTTTTGGGTCTCTGCAAGTATACAAGCACAAAGCCACACACACACACACACTCACATACTGTGGCATACAGTTGCTGGTGTAAACAGATGCATGGCATGTGCGACCACCCAACACCAGTCTCTCGCTCTTCTTCAGGATGTGAGGTGTGGCACCCATTATGCAAGCAGGCAGCGAGGGCAGAGAAGAGACTCAGGGTGAGATAGAGTTTGAAATGAAAATGTTAAAATCAAATGAAAACTGTAATTTCCTCACTGGGTGCATTCTTCCCAACTCTCTTTCTTTGTCTGCTTGTACCTCACAGCACAGACGCTTGTCAGAAACCTCCATCTCTCCACCAGGCTCCTCCATTGGCTCTCCCAGTAGAGTCATATGTGTAAGTAAGATATGACTCTACAGCTTTTACTCACTTTTAGCTGCCACCTGCTACCAAACGTACCCTAAAAGCACAATTGCTAATACCAGAAGCTTTACCCCTAGTCTTGGATGATTAAGCACCACCCTCACAGACTGCTCACTCCCTTGGCCTGTTCACCTGTCTGTATCCCACCCTCTGTTGTCAATAGTGATGTAGTAGGAGTTAAAAAGAAGTGAGTAAAGATAGTAGCAAACTGTTTCAACAAGAAACAGGAGATTATGTTATACTTTATCTGTGATGACTATCTTTAGTCATTGCTAGTTAAACAGCACTGACAGTGATTTGCCAGTCGACAAATTTCTAAATGTGTAGATTAAAACTAGGCTAAATCTGGATGAAAGCTGCAAAAATTTAAGATAAAATTCTCAACAGCTATTGAATAAATTGCCATTAATTATGCAGGCTTAACACTGTCTGTAAGAAAGGGAATGAAATCCCCAAAAGTCAGGGCGCAATAAGGTGTTTCATTGAAGTGCAAAAAACAAAAACAAACAAAAACTTTATTATTCTACCAAGACTACAAGTTGATCATTCTCAGGGATTTGGCCATAGACTTTTAAAATTATGAAGCCAAAGTATGAAAAAAACCTTTCACTTTTAAAATGTTATCAAGATGCCCTAAATTTACATAAAGTCACTTTCGGCTTTTCCCTGTTTTTAGGAGTCGCCACAGCGAATCGTCACACTGACGACTCGCATGCCTTAAATTTACATAACTGAAGAAAATATCAAGGGTGACCCAAACATCCAAAAACAACTTACACTACCTAAATTTATCCCAGTTTTAATCTACACACCTGCTTCGAACAGGGTTCAACTGCGTGTCGGCAGAATTAGCATGTTAAGGGTTGTCTGCGTGCCATCAGCAGTCAGTGCTGTCTGTTCATCAGTGCGCTGCTTTACTCATAATCAATGAACTGTCCATTTAAGGTGATGGATGAGGACAGAATGTAGTGTAAGCACACTTGTTGTCCAGACCGTCTCCTCTCCCTCTTTCTCTAGCTGTCTTTCTTTCTGTCTTTCTCTGCTCTCTTTCTTGCACATGCTGAGCCCCTGAATGTCAACAACTTACACTGCTGTCAGGTCCTACAGCGTCCAAGCATACTTTCGATGAGCGTGCACACACATGTGTATGTGCATGTGCAGACATGTGTGTGCCTCATCATCTGTTTCCCATTCCTTTTTACCACCGCACGATCTGCTTACTGGTGAAGTTTCCATTACTTTGTTACTGTGCATCGTCCACGTGGCTGATGTTGGGTCTTGCTGCTGTTGTCTGTCTCTTGTGGGTGTATATGTGTGTCCTCTCTCCAGGCCAGAGTGGAGAATGAGATCCTAGATTATAAGGACCTAGCTGCCCTGCCAAAGGTCAAGGCCATATATGAGGTCCAACAGCCAGACCTTATATCTTCCTCATACCAGCCCTACCACAGATACACCTCTGATGACAGGCTAGAAACTTACAGCTATGGGGAGGTACTACTACTACTGCTACACACTGCAGGTCAAACTTAGCATTGGTCTCATTATTTATTTTCAGGAGGAATGCTGTTTGGTTTTTAGATGGAGCTGTGCCAAGAAGAAGTGTGCCTTCATTACACCTCATTCATATTTGTTGCACTGAAATTTATGTTGGAAGAAAGTTACTAAACAACAATCTGTTGTTTGTCTTGTATTTCTGTGCTACAGCACAAATAATATCTCATGTCTCTCTCACTGATTCTTCAGTCACTTGGGACACTTTCTCCCTATTCTCAGGTAAGCATTTTTCCTCTCAGCAAAAGTGCAGTAGCAGAGCTGCTGTCATATCGTCCTGTCACTAAGCTATTTGTCTCCTTCTGCTCCTCTTTTACTTCTACCTTGTCTACGCTGACTTCTCAGGACTACAACAGCCTGGATATGAAGCAGAGGCGGTGCTCCAGTTCAGGTTACATTGACTCGCCGACGTATAGTCGTCAAGGCATGTCACCCATTATGCCTCACTCTCCGCAGCACTATGGCTACCCTGGTGAGTCATACGGTATTCGTTAATGGCTGACTGCTGTTGAAATGCACTTAACAGAGTTAAAGACATTGCTTAAAGACCTTAAATGTGCCAAAGGCACATTTAATTGTGTATCATTGACTGTTGAGCTGAAGAGTTGTTTTGAATTATTTTATTTAAGTGAAGTAATTTGAAGGAATACTTTATCATTTTAGGACATATGTTGATTCACTTTCTTGATGAAAGTTACCACTCTCCTGTCTGTGTGTTTAGTATGAAGCTAATGCCAGTAGCTGTTTAGTTTAGCTTAGCCTAAAGACCCAAAACTAGACTGGCTCTGTCCGAACGTAATAAAAAGTTACTCACCAACACCGTGAGGTTGCAAGACAACCAGTGAAAACTTCAGGGAGTTAGGGAAAGTCTTCCACATATAATCTGTGAAACCATAACATATCATTTTTTCACTTGGGTTTCCGTACAAAATACAAAATGCACAAATATATCACGTTTATTAGTGAACTTTGGAGGTACTGGTAGATTAGATTAGATTCAACTTTAGTGTCATTACCCATGTTCAAGTACAAGGCAGCAAAATGCAGTATGCATGCATGATCTTGTTACCTTTGTAAAAAGCCAGGCTGTTTCCCTGTTTCCAGGCTTTTGTTCGGCTAAGCTAGCAAGTTGCTGCTTGTAGCTTTATACTGTATCTAGTGTACAAACATGAGAGTGGTATCAGTCTTCTCATCCCTTAGCAAAAAGTGAGCATTTCTCCAAAATGTCAGACTATTTCTTTTAGACCTAAAATTGCTTTTCATTTCCATCTGTTTGTCATCAACACTATTATGTCTTCAGCAAATATGCTCTCATTGTCTTAGGCCAGAATGTCTTTTGCTTCACTTTTAAATAAAGTGGACTTTTGCTGGAGTTGCTTCTTGGCTGCCATTTCATTGAACTCTTACACATGTGCACTGACACTGACAGTTATAATAGTCAATAACCTCTGTCAATACACAAGTGGAAAAATTACCCAATGTCGGCTTTGTAGTTTGACTGAATGTTTAGGTTGTTAAGTTTTCATTGGCATGTGTTGAGGCCCTCCTTCATGTTCATCCTTTGCTGTGATTGGCTGTGGCTGGCTGCAGGCTCTGAGAGCGGCAGGAGTTCACCTTATTATGGCCAAGAGGGGCGGTCAAGCACACCTACCACAAACCAGCCCCCTAGACATTTTCATGTACCAGGTAGGACTCCTCATTGCTTCATCGCATCTCTCATTATCTCATACATTATTTAGTGCGTGGGAAGCTGTCATCAGCAATTATTCATTAATGCAAATCCTTCAAAAAGGTCACTTTTAAGTTCTGTGGGAATGAGGGGGTGTGAAAATTTTGTATTTTTATACACCACACAATTGCTCTGGCATATTCTTCCCCATCCCTCCAACATCCTCTTCCACTCATCTAAACAAAAACTCACATCTTCTCCTCCTCTCACTCCTCCATGTTTCACCTCTTCATTTCCTCTTTCTCTCCTCAGCCACAGGAGACCCCAACATCTACAGGAAGCCTCCCATCTATAAGCGAACTGGTACAGTTCAGCTAGCACCGCCTTAGCCTGCCTGTCCTTCTGTCAGTTTAGTTATGCTGTGTTCGAGTACTCGGTGTAGATGTTTTTACTGACCTATTGATGTTTGATTTGTGTCGATGTTCCAGTTACTATTGCATATGAAGCCATCACAAGCAAAATGAGAAAAATAGGAATGACTGATCCTGTGAAATTGAGGTTAAGGATCAATTAGACATGTTGCATATTGCCATGTAAAGTTGAGTTTAGTCTGCATGCTATGAACACATGCCTGCTTTTGGGTGGGTCCCTGCAGCATGACAGGTTTTTGTCTGCAAATGGGACTGGAACAGGCCATGAATGAAGTGAAGGTTGTTCAGGCGTGACAGGTGCTGAGAGCATGGGACTCTGAGGACACACAATACACCAGAACAGAAAAAAGCAATGGAACAAAATGCAGTTAATTGCATTATAACTGGAATTTACTGTATATTTGAGACCATTTTTATTTTCTCGGGCTAGCCTTGTTAGCCAGAGGTCTGTGTGTTAGACTTAAGGAGATGCTGCTGTGATTGTTTTCAAGGAACAGGCAGAATGTGGAGACAGCTGCTGTGCTTATTTCTGTAGAAAACAGAGGGTGTATGGGAGAGGGAAGTCTGATTTCTTAATTGTGTGGATTTATGTAGTCACTGAGCGAAATAACACGGCAGTGAGGTTAACACAAGATGGTATTTTTGCCTTTTTTACAAGCCATTAAACTTAAATGCACTTCAGCCATCTGGATAGCGTGATTCAGTAGAAACACTCATAAGATAAAGATTCATTAGCCTGCAGTCACATTGCACTGAAAGAGGCTTTTCAGCTCAGAGTCACAAGATCTTCTGATGGAGGATAGTTTATTGTTGTTGTTGTTGTTGTTGTGCATGTTCCTCTGTACTGTATGTGGTGGTATTTGTGGTTTAGTTAGTGAACTGTGTTGACCTGTGTATAGACACTTTCACCCTGTTTCACATAATTACTTAGTACATCACTGGCCATAATGTTTTATATTTTTCCCCATACTGTAAATGGCAAGTTCAACAACCTTTCAGCTTGCCTTGTTGGATTACTGATGTTCAATGTGTATGAACATCAGTGATATAATCCCTTTTTGGTGCTGTAAGTCTTCCTAAACAAAGATCACTTTCCCTTGTTTCAGCAACACAACTGTTGTAAATCCAAAGCTGCAGCAGGCACATGTGAATATTTGTTGCTTTGTTGTCAAAGGCCTGTTATGTACTATCCACTTAACAAGTTTGCTACGTGTAAAGATAAGAGGCTGCATCAGACTGCAGTCTTCCAGCTTTGTGCTCCGTATTCATAGCAAAGCCCTCTGAGACGTTCCAATAATGTTGCCCTTTTCTTTTCACCTCTTTTTTATTGCATCCAATCACTTTTATTCACTTCCCTCCACCTTCTGCTCCACTTTCCCTGGTGACCTTGCCGCTGTAAGTATCTCCCTCCTCTTGCTGTTTCACTCACTGTCAGTAGAAAGATTTTTCATAAATCTGTCTCTTGTGTGTTTTGTGTCTCTCTTCCTGCGTTTGTCATCCCATGTCAGTAATGTACAAACTCACATCCTCTGACAGAGCTTCCAATCTGCTGTCAAAGTTTGCTCTGGATGTGTGTGTTGGCTTAAACTGAGAACGTCTGCCATTGATGTCATGGATCATGGATATAGCAATTTAGGCAATCATGGACTGGGGCTGGCATGGCTAATGACTAACAGAGTGAAGAGTGATCGATCTGACATTACACTGCATGTCACCCCCATTGACTTCCACTGACTCTGCTTTAGTGCAAAGTGACATAAGTGTCTTTGTCACACCACTCATGAAACAGTCGTGTGCCTCAGACTGAGTATTAACTGCACTCACTTTAAAGCTGGTTATTTTCATGCCATTGGCTGAAATATCAATCTCTTCTGACAGAAATGGTGGAGTGATGACTGGATTTGTATCGTACATGTACTGCCTTATTATGTACAGTATCTATCTGATGTTTATTAACACATTTTCCTCCTTAAAAGAACAGTTTGCCATTTTGAGAAATGTGGTTATTTAGCTTTCTTGGTGTGAGCAACATGAGAAGATCGATGCCACTCTCATGCTGTCTGGCAAAACCCATGCACATCATTTACATATACAGGGGAAGGAAGCGCACATTAATGGGGCAGAAACGAAGAAAGGAAAATAGAGAAATGAATAGTAATGAAAAACATTAGCAAGAAGTGTCACTGAGGCTGAGGCCCACCAGCAGGAGAATGGTACAGCTACAAGATAAGAAGTCATCTATAGCTGAAATGTATGGCCTACAGATGAGTTAGCTAAGCGAACAGTGTTCTAGCTATAGCTTTATATTTAAGACACATTTGAAAATGATACAGATACCCTCCTATCTCTTAGCAAAAAACAATTAGAACAAGCCTAATTCCCAAAATTTCAAAGGGCTCCTGTAACATAATAACCACTTACTTTTCTCTCTTAACTCAATCTATTTTGTGACAGACAATCACATGGATGCAGCGACCAAAAGCAGGACCAGTGAGGACATACTCAGATCCTCCAGACTGTCCACCTACTCTCCTGAACCATATACCCAGTCAGAGTCTGACTACTACCCATACCCCAGCTCCCCCAAGGGTAGGAAACACAGAATCACTTCACTGAGTTTAGACTAGTAAGCTACTGGACCAAACACAGACATAGGAGCCCAGCTCATTTTGTAAGTCTGTGTTGTCATATTTATTCACCTACCCACTCTGTTACGGCGCTCCACTCTGAGCTCTATATTTGTACAAGGGAATCTCTTTTATCTCTTTTCTCTCTCAGTCTATAGGGCGCAAAGAAGACGCTTCTCGACAGGAGGAGATGAAGAGAGTTGGAGTCAGAGTCTTCAAAGAGTAAGAGCTTCATTATTTTCTGTCTCCCTTTTTTTATACTGGGTTGAAGAAAGTCCCCTACTCAGAAACTCCCATAAATAATGCAGTTTTTATGATACGGTACCTAAACTATCCTTTTTTTTTACATGCTTCTCTCATTATTTCTGCAATCACTCTACATTAAATTAGTAGTTTCCACTGAAATCTCATTCATTTCACTCCACATTTTGCTTCTTTCCTTGCCCTGTTTCCTCTCAGATCGGGAGTGGCATTGGGAGGATGATCCTAAAAGAGGAGATGAAAGCCAGATCTGGTTCCTATGACAACGACCCCTGGGGCAGTGCAAGGAATTCTCGTTGTGGGAGCAAGGAAACACTCAGCACTACAGGCTACGGCACCACGGTGTACAACAACACTATCAATGGCTGTAAGGATCCACCCTGCCCCCTGCACATCTCTTGCTTTTGTCTCATGTTCTTCTGCAAGTTCGTGCATTACCATGTCCAACTGTGTTTCTGTGCAGCCTTGCTCTTCCCTGTGCATCACATATGATGCTACAGAGGCTTTTTATGAGCTTCAGTATAGGCTGTCATTGGGGTTGGTGGTAAGAGCTGTGTGGTTATGGATGCAGGTCAGAAAAAGGCATGGCTGCTGCAGACTACTGGAATGAAAAGATGTTGAGAGGGGAGAACAGCTGCTGCCAAACATGTGGCATGCCAGCAGGAGCCCCTGGCACGTCGTCATTGTGGGGATATCTGATCACATTGAACATTTCAAACCGCTGAGTGCTCAGCCAGGTGTGCAGATGTGCCAGATGTGATAAAGCCAGACCTGAACCCATCATTGTTTCTGTTTATAAGGGCCACTGGTCATGCAGGATACCAGGAGTGTTATTTTTTAGACACTCTCTCCAACTTTTCCCTCTTCTTTCATAATCTTCCTCCTCACCTCATCTCACATTCCTTATTCCTGTTTCTCTCCTCCTGTCCTCTCCATATTCCACTGTGTTAACTCTCTATCTATCCATCCATCTATCTGTGTATTTATCTCACTCTCTCGCTCTCACAGCTGGTGTCCCATAGCCTGTTTTACTTATGAGCAGGAGGATCTCTCATTAAAGCTGTTTCTCAGATGGGAGGGTACACAACTGAACAAGACTCTGCTGGCTATGGTTGAAAAGCAACAAAGGCTTGCAACAACACAAGCTGCGTAGTATGATTAAATACTGAATTGTGGCATGTGTTTATATATATATATATATATACATATTTGAATATAATTTCTTTTCTCCCATTGTTCCATGAACCAGTCCTGCCCGGCCTCTTTTTGTCTTATTGCCCTTTTGATATTTTGTGTTCCTCCCAGGGATGATGGGTACCCAACTTGCTCCTTTTCAGTTCCTTTTATTAAGCCTTTAACCGGACAAAATATTTTATGTTTTTCAAAAATACAGTACAAGACTTTTTGTTTGTTTGTTTGTTTCCAATAAGAAAGATGTAATGTTACTCCATGATCTCTTTCACAGCTCCGCGGTCTCAGTACAGCACTGATAGTGGTGAGTTTATACTTTCTATTTCATGTATAATGTCATGACCTGGCTCATGGGCCATGACAAGAATGGGAATGAATACAATTTCCGATAGTTTAACTTAAAATTATTCACTAAAGGAAAAATAAATAAATAACACATGAAGTCTGTAAATCAGTCATATCAGTAGTGTCAGTGTGATTGAGTGTAGAAATGGTGTAAGGATGTTGTAAGGTGCAAAAACAAACTAATTAATTAATTAATTAATGGCAGCAAAGCCTCACAGCCAAACCAACTAAAGTGACTGGAAGCTGCAGCATTTAACCCCCTGCAGAGCAGCAGACCCATGTGCTCCCAATGCATAATCAGGCCACCTCACACAGGCCACCTGTAAGACACCACAGACACACAGACAGAAACCCTAGGCAGCGTTATCACAATTCTAAAATAATTTTGGCTGCATAGCACTCACCTCAATCAGTGGTCCTTGTTCATTTAAATCGTAGGGCTTTTTTATATTTAGTTTTTGAATGACATTGACATGAATTATGTACTTGAACTGGATTCCACTCTGCATAAACCACGCTCCAGTCTCACATATTGTACACACAACTGGAACTTTAAGAATTTTCTTTGGTTAGTCATGAGCACCATCTTCTGGTACTAATCAGGTACTAATAGCAGATTTCAAACAATAGGCGTCAAACTGCATGAAAATAGGTGGAAATTTAAGCAAATGTTGGCTTAACTGTTTTCTGTATTTTAGATTTTGTTTGTAAATCTGCCTCGCTGCCAGGATATGGTCGCAACGGGATCCAGCGGGTAAGGCCACAGTGACCAAGGCATAAAATGACATGATTAGCTGTTTGTTTGCCACATATGGCTCTACCTTATTTCTAATGCATCTCATCTTTAAAATATCACCTGTTTTACTTGCTAGTTGAATAAGTTCACATCAGTTTTATTTCCAAAGCATGCCTGTTTTATTTTAGTTTGACGAACGCGTCTGTCTACTTTTGTTTAATTGTCTCTTGCTGCACCTGCAGCCTCAGAGTGCAGATTGCTATCAGTACCAGTATGACAGCGGCAGTGAGGTCAACTGGGGAAGCAGAGGTAATTTAATTTAAATTTAAAACACCTACACCTTTTTAGATTGGATCAATTAATTCAGGTTTTTTTTTTCATTTGTACTGACTTGATTGTTTTTTTCTTTTCAACCAGCAGAGTACAAGGTAAGGCTTTAACATATTTACTTAAATAATTCATTCCACATGAGTCTATATTCTCAGTTTGTGTAACCATGTCCCTAAAGTGTGCATGGCCGCTCCCTCTCTGCAGATTTACCCCTATGAAGCACTCATTGTCACCACCAGAGGGCGCAACAGACTGCCCAAAGATGTAGACAGAGCCAGACTGGAGGTAAGTTAAGATCGGGTCATTAGGTTAAAGTGCTGACCGTGGTTTAGTTCAGACTAGTGACGTAGCTAAGATTTTAGAAATACTAGGTTTCCCAGGAGAACCATATCAACCTAAAAATGGTTCTGAGGAGCCACCAACCAAACTATGTAAAATTTCGTATTCAAAAAATATTAATTCTTCAGCTGTTCAAATACATTTTCTGAAAATGTTACTTCCTTACATTATGGTCTAATGCATGCAATTCTGGTGGAAACTATTAAGCTCTTTTTGAAATTTTAATTTATTACAGGCCTGTGTAGTTTTTGGAAAACCCAACTTGTGTAATATGTGTGCAGTCATTGATGTCATTATAAATGCTCTAAATTTCCAAGACCTTTGTGCCCTTAGTAGTAGCTACAGACCTGTTGAAAATAATAGTATAGTAGAGTAATATGAGGCTTAATGTGATAAATGTGTGTCATCTCTTTCTCCCTGTCTTCTCAGCGTCACTTGTCCCCTGAGGAGTTTGTCCAAGTATTTGGTATGACCGTGGAGGACTTTGACCGGCTGGCTCTGTGGAAGAGGAATGAGCTAAAGAAACAGGCCCGACTCTTTTAATAATGTATGGACATTTGTCGGATACTGCCATAAGCAGAGCTGCAGACGTGAGTGACTGTAGGAAGGAAAGAGAAAGATAGGAAAACGTCTACTCAGTTTCACTGCCATGGCTGAGAACCTGTTCTAGATCTCCTCATGCGACGAACCAAATTCTGGTAACACCAGCGTGGACTTTTGGGATACCGAGGGAAGGTCACAAAGACATTATGCACAGATGGACTGATAAACTGTTATATGGTTGCCGGTGCAACTGTGGCTGTGTGCTCGAGTAGAGTCCAAGCAATAGAGACAGTAGTACAGTAGTGTTGTGTTTTTCATGAGCCTGAGTGATGAAGGAAGGCATGACTGTGCCCAGAGCTACAGTACGAATACATACTGAGGAGAATGTTGGCTTTGCCTTATTTGTCAAGCTGTCTTAGTTATGAGTGCACAGCACCAGCAATATGAATGAGTAGAATGTAGATACATTATATCATGTATGACACTTTATTGGCGTGAATGATTAGATGAGACAAATGAGTGGGTGAACATACAGCATCACTTTGCTTTGGTTTATAAGAATGCATTTAATTTACCTGTTCCCCTGTTTTTGCTTTGTCACATGAAATACTGTATCCCTCTGGTTTACACTAATTGAAACAAAACAGGAAGGAAACTGAGATGGACACAACTTTTCGAGTTGTATGTGTGCCCTGCACTAATTTGTGTGAAAATGAAAACCAAAGTGAAAATGCAAATATACAGATTAGCAGATCACACCCATGTAACGTTCTGGTTAAATATTTTAAAGGTCAACAATAGATGCAGATCAATGTGCAGCTGTACAGCAACCTAAAAGAATGTGCAACCTAGTAGATTTAACAGATCAAGGACAGGCCACTTCAGTCTTCCTGTTCCATGTTCATTTTGGATCATTGCAATAGAATGATGACTAAATGTTTTAGGACAGTAGTCATCCATACATTTACATTCACTACTATTTATTTTCTTTTAGAATGACAGTTTTGTAGCTACAAAGATTATATTCATTCATGATGAAATGTTCTGCAAGGTAATTAACACACTGACAAAGATCCAGGGTTGTTGAAGACTTTACTTCCTTTGAATACAGTTATTTCGATTTTGTCAATAAAAAATAAACTTCAAATTAATGAAAAATTAACTTCTTTTTCATTATTTTAATTATTTTAAGGAATTGTATAACATTTTGGTAAGACCACACTTTCATAATTATATTATACACATTATATTATCATAATTCAACTTAGCCTAGCTTCGCATGAAGACTGGAAACACTGGGAAACAGCTAACCTGGCTTTGTCCAAAGATGACAAAATCACCTCTAAAGCTTGCCTACTGACAATCTGCACTTTGTTTTATACCACTTTACTTTCTGTAATCTGTATAAAATGCGTAAAAGGTTTCCTGTCTGGAAATACCAGCAACTAGAGACTGCTCCTATAAGATCCAAAATACAGTCTGGGACACATAACCCAATAATAAGCATATTGTTAATAGTTTAGTTTGGTTTGGTTTGGTTTTCCAAATTAGTGTTAACTGTGAGTCTTAGAACTGGCGGATGGATTTTGTTATTTGTGTGGCTAGGCTAACTTTTTTCTCAGAATTCTGACTTTTTCTGACAAGTCAGCTTTAAAATCATAATTCTAAGATTAAGGTCAAGATTGTGATTTTATTATCAGGATTCTGAGTTTAAATTAGAATTCTTAGAGAAAAAAAAAACAAAAATTTAAGTTAGCCCTAATCCTCTTTTGTATTAACTAATTGTAGCTGTAACAGCAATGAAATGAGCTCTTTGCTGCAGCTGGCTTTAGGACCCAGCAGAGACCCTTTCTCCAGCTCCGGTGGATCTGCACAGTGTATCGATTGTATCTGTCAGCAGCAGCAGCAGCAGCTTGTCCTCACCACACACCTTGTCAAACTTGTCAGTCATGGGCCTGCACTAAATGTCAGCAGCTCACATGGACAGCATCACCGGCAGAATGGACAAAAACGGCATCAAATGTAAGTCTTAAGTCTTTTAAGTGCAATCCTGAAACACTGCTGCAAAAAGAATATAGATTTGCATCTCCTTGTGGACTTTGTTAAGGTGGATTTAGATATGCATGTATGGAAGTACAGGGTGTGCTTCCATACAGCATGTTTGTTTTGGTCATTTCAGAACAATGGGACCCTCACACACCTACTGTGTTTCATCCCACACCTCTCACTGCAAACAACACTGGTTCTTCTGGAAGATAGGGGATTATATGTAAGATATACATAACAGAGATTTTCACATCTGTTCTAATTGCTTTGGTTTAATATTGTAGTCTACATTATTTTCTGTATGTGACTGCTACACTGCTACTATCCACAGTAATTCTCACTCCTTTTGTAAAGATAACACAATGGTATTGTTCTTTAAATATATAAATAATGTTCAT